AAAAATTATTATTATTATTATTATTATTAAGTTATGATTTATATATTATTCTGACTCATTTTGACACTTATTATTATTATTGATCATGTTTCTTTCCGTAAAAAAAATTTAGTTTCTTGTAAATATTATGGAACAAGTCAACAATTTTTTTTTTTTTTTTGCTTTTGCTGTCGTTTTTTTTTTTGCTTTTGCTGTTGTTTTTTTTTTGCGTTTCGATTATAGTTTTTATACCGATTAAAAAACCCCTCGTTGATGATGATGATGATGATGATTTTTTTATGCTTATTTTTCTAATTTTTTGTAAAACAATTTTTTTTATTAATTATATATATATTTATTTATTATTTGTGTGTCGTATGTCTTTGTAATCATTTTTTTTTTTTTTTTAATAAGATCTTATTACTTTTTTTTATTTTTTTATTTTTTTTTTTTTGACTAGAATTACAATTTTAATTATTATTGTTAACAAAGTATTAAGATCTCATCTTTCATTTGCCTTGTTGTTAATTTTTTTTGTTTAAAAAAAAAAATAAGAGTAATTTTTGTTAAAGTTGTAAAATCAAATAAAACAATAAACAATTATTATTATTATTATTGATTCTTTGAAATAAAACCGATCAATTAATTAATTAATTAAAGCCACATTATTTACTCTTTATTATTATTATTATTATTATTATTATAAATAAAATAATTAATTATTAAAATATTTATAAGTATTAATTTATATTTAAATATTTTAATTTTTTTATATATGTATTTTTATTTATTTATTTATAAATTCATTTATCAATAGAAAATAAAATTTTTTAATAATAATGATATTGCTGATTATAATTATTATTATTTTTTATATATATAATTTTAATTTTATGTATAATTTATAAAAAAAAAAATCATTCTTGCCATTTTTAATATTGTTTTTTAATGTGAAAATAATATAATTTATATATAAATTCTCATCATTTGTTTTTATTTGTTACATTATCATTATTATTATTATTATTATTATTATTATTATTGTCACTCCTTAAACACGACAAGGTTCTTATTTTTTTGGGTTTTTTAAGTTCATTTATTCCAGGTTTCTACCCGACGGCGATTCCTTAGGGATAAATCCTATGAATTTCGTCGGTGTTATTTATTTATAATATTTTATAATATTTATTATTATTATTATTATTATTATTATTATTATTATTACGTATTTCAAGTTTTGTTTGTTTGTTTGTTTGTTTTAGAAATGGGTGAAATTTTTAAAGAAGCTGTCGGAGAAAAATTTTTGCATATCTTCATTCGACGGTGATAAAAATTCAGATTCAAATTCCATAACTCAATTAATAGATGGCGGTGGATTGAATTCGACGAATTTAACGACCATAACCGTTTCCGCCACGGTTAATTTTATCGGTGGTAGTTCAAATAAACTTCCGGATGGTTTTGCCGCCGTGACAGGGGATGTACCCCTAGGAGGTATAAGGACACACACATTAAATGGATTCAATGATGCATTTAACAACAATTTAATGAGGGTTTTGATAATTTTTTTTAGATTGGGTATCACTTTCGAGTAATAATCATCCGTTAAATTCGTTAAAAATGACGTTTGGCGTCCCGTTCGATTTGAAAAAAGAAGATGCTTGCGTTATATTAACGGTACCCGTGACATTTTTATCATTGAGTAAACGATCCAGTGTTTGCATTCCAACATTTCTTAACGTGAGTATTTTGTAATCATTAACGGAAAATATAATTTTTCTTTTACCGGAAATTAATTATTATTTTATAGAAAACAATCACTCACGTGGGTGAGTTAAACGTCGTTTCATCGATCGATTCAAATTACACGTGCAAATTAGGATATTTAACAAATTTAAATTTTCATTCGGATGAAGATTTTTATTTGTCGAAAATGGAAAGGTTAAATATTTATCTACGACTTTTTCATTCGAGTTATTTTTTATTAGCTGTTGCTTTTACTTTAATTTGTTTTTCCTTGTTTCGTGGGAGGAATTATATGTCTGTGGAAACAACGGATAAGGTAAACATTTTTAAAAATAAATATTAATTGTAATTTTTTAAAGTTTTAAATATTATTTATAATTTTATTACGTTTCAGGTACCTCTTGCTTTATAAAAGAAATTTTTTTTTTTTAAATTCAATGATTTTATTTACTCGGGATCAGTATTATTCCAAAAAAAAAAATTCGTTATTTTGAATTTGTTATTAATTTTGGTAAATTTTAACAGCAAAAAGACACTAAAAAACTACAATTACGTATTGATTTATTTATTTTGTGTTTTTAAAATTTAATTTTAATATATTTTATGACGGAAATATATTATAAATATTAATAAAACTTTAATTTATTTGAAAAATTATTTTGTTGAGAAAGAACACTTGAAAAAATTAGTTAAACGTAAAATTGTTTCAAAAAAAAAAGAATTTACGTCGAAGTTTTAGAAACAATTTTTTTATTGGAGTTTGAACATCTCTACGATTTCCAAGCTTTAAATATGGCTTCTGCTAAACAGTTGATTTATATTTAATTTTTTTTTTTTTTTACTGAACTGTGATATTTTAATATTTTCAACATAAAATGTTTAAATACTCTTGACATTTTCTTTATTTGATATTTTCTTTCTGTTTTTTCGTAATAATTTTCAGTAAGATATTATCATGTTATTTGTAATAGCAAAAGAGTCTGAATTTATTTTCTGTTAGAAAATTTTTTAATATTTTTATAATTGAATTTAAAACTACCAAAGATATTAATATGGTTGCCGATGAATGCGATGATTTATTACCTGATAAAGTAGCCGCCAAAGAATTTTATGCGAAATATGAGCCGAAAGAAATTTTGGGAAGGTAATTAAAAATTAAGTAACCTTGAATTTTTTTTTTTAGTGTTTAGTTGATGATAATTTATTAAAATAAAACTTTATGTAGTTAACTCATAAAATATATTAATTATTGAATTAACTCATAATTATTTTTATTTTTAATGATTATCAGGGGTATCAGTTCAACTGTTCGAAAATGTATCGAAAAAGAAACTGGGAAAGAGTTTGCTGCCAAAATTATAGATTTAAGTAATGAAGGAAATGAAACTGTCGATGGTAAAACAACTCTAGAAGGAACAATACAAGAAGTTAACATTTTAAGAATGGTTGCAGGTCATCCTTACATTGGTAATGTATTTATGTTTGTAGTATATCTTATCATTATTATTTTTACAAGTTAAATAAAATATAAAAAAATTATTCTATGTGTTTTTAGTGGAACTTCATGATGTTTTCGAATCTAGTACCTTCATTTTTCTAGTATTTGAACTTTGTAGAAATGGAGAATTATTTGATTATTTAACATCTGTAGTTGCATTAAGTGAAAAGAAGACCAGATACATTATGAGGCAGGTTGGTAAGCAAATGTAAAGATAATTGTCGATTTAAAAATATTTCAAGAGAACTTAAGAAGTACTCGAAAAAAAAATTTATAAATTAAATATTTTGAAATTTTATCATTGATCGCTGATAAGAATAAATAATTATATTAAAATAATTAAGAATTTTATTTACAGATTTTTGAAGCTCTTGATCACATACACAAAAAAAATGTCGTTCATAGAGATTTAAAGCCTGAAAATATTTTACTGGATGATTGCATGAATGTTAAAATTACTGACTTTGGCTTTGCTAAAGTTTTGAAGGAAAATGAAAGATTGGTTGAGTTATGCGGGACTCCTGGGTACTTGGCTCCGGAAACATTAAAAGCAAGCATGTTTGAAGATGCTCCAGGCTATGGAAAAGAAGTAGACATGTGAGTTTTAATATTTCATTGATTTAAAATTATAAATTTGACATTGTTAATAAGATTTTTTTTTTACTTTTTCAGATGGGCATGCGGTGTCATTATGTTTACTTTGTAAGTATCACGATTATACAATGAAACTAATTTTTTTTTGAAAAAAATGTGAGTATTAAATTGTTTTAATTAATTTAGGCTGGTTGGTTGTCCTCCATTTTGGCATAGAAAACAAATGGTCATGCTAAGAAATATAATGGAAGGAAAATATTCTTTTTCATCTCCAGAATGGGCTGACATATCTGAGTCGCCCAAAGACCTAATAAGACAATTATTAGTTGTTGATCCTGATAAAAGAATCAGCATTCAAGATGCATTAAGTCACCCATTTTTCAATGTCATGGTAAGTAACAATTGTTATTTTCTATTAACACAAATTATAGTTTTTTTTTTTTTTTTTTTTTTTTCTAAAAAAAATTATACTCTTTGTTTCAGTTATTCGATCAGGACATTGCTCCATTAAAAAAGAGTTTATCAGCATCTTCGAGAAGGATCAGCAAAATTTCACAAATGGCAAAAGTAATTGAAATTTTTATTTATTTTTTATTTTATTAATTAAAATTAAATTATTTATTTTAACGTGATTATATATTTTCAACAGGAACTCAAAGCTTCGTCGTTTAATCCGAAAAAGAAATTTCGTTTTGCATTGCTATGCGTTCAAGCTGTAATTCGTTTGAAACGAATGCATTTAACACCGGAATCGCTTTCACTCGAGAACGCCATATTGGATCCCTATCACATTAAATTACTGAGAAAGGTGAGTTTTTTTCGCTAAGGTTTTTACTTCAATGATAATTCTTTTTACTTCATTATATCAATTTTATCCTTTTTTTTTTTTATTTTAGGTCATCGATGGTTGTGCTTTTAGAGTGTACGGTCATTGGGTAAAAAAGGGAGAAGGTCAAAATAGGGCTGCTTTATTTGAAAATTCACCGAAAACGGAATTGAAACAACGTTACGTTTACAATTTGAGTCGATGACAAAAAGAATGATTGATTGATTGATTGATTGACTGCTTTTACCTTGTTGACAAGACGTATAAAAATAAGGTATTTTCGTTATCACTTTATTTTTTTTTTTAATTCTTAGGCTCGATGAGTAAGTTACCATAATAATATTATCATGAAACAAAAAAATGTTTTTTTTAAATGTGAAACATAATTCTTTTTATGTTTATATTTTAAATAAGTAATGCACACACGATAACAAAAAAAAATAAAATCAAAGAGGGCTGTGAAATAAAAAAAAAAGTAATGTTGCAAAATAATTATAAACTTTGTAAAGAGAGTCACATAATAATAATTAAAACAGTATAAAATTTAATAATTGCAATCGAAATGACACAGGGGATTATTATCATTTAATGATTGTAATTATTATTTCTTTTTTATTTATATTTAATTATAATTTATAATTTAAATTTAACATTATAATAATACTAAAATAGTTGGGGTTTATATAAGCGTACTCTCTCGAATAAAAAAATATTTTTTAACATAAAATTACAATTTATAATAATATTTTTGTTTATTTATATTAATATTTTGTTTAAATGATTATGGAAATAAATTTTTTTTTTTTTGACATTGTTTAGAAAATAATAAAGTTGGTTAATTGTATGGCTTTTGAATATTGAATAATTTTTTATATTGAAATCATAAATATTGACAAAAAAAGAAAGAAATAAATAAATAAAATTGGCGTGAAATAATCAAAAGAATTATTATTATTATTATTATTATTACATTAATGTATTACAAAAAATGTAGCCTTATAATTTTTATAAAATTTTTAAAGAAAAAATAACAATAATAATAATTATAATTTTTTTCAAAGGACTAATTTATTAAATTTTATATTTTTGTTTTGTTTTAATAATTATTTAAATAATGATAAAATTAATTATTATTATTATTATTATTATTATTATTATTTTAATTTTTCGTTTGTTTTATTCGAATATTCTTATGATTTTGAAAAATATGGATTAGTCCATTAAAAGAAATTACAGTTACTTACAAAAAAGTATTTTTTAAGAATCATTTAACTATAATTGACAAAGGTCGAATAAACATAAAATTTGGCAACGTTGGATCATACCATGTGACTAAATGGGAGCGTGTTTTAAGAGTTGGATGTGATGCATTGACCAGTGTTCAAGTCCCGGGCAATGACGCTAAAAAAGTTATCTTTTTGTCGGGAAATCGCGTTTAGGGTTTTCATTATAGTCGATTTATGTATTTAAGGGTCGCATAAATGATTTTCGATAATTAATTATTCGGTTATTTAATTGTAAATAGTGAAAATAGTGAGATATCCAAAAGTAGGAAAGTGTTACTTGGTTTTACACGCCCTTCTTTAGGTGACGTCACGTTTAGCTCTCTGATTGGTCGGTTTCAGCGCCCGGACACGTGAGGCTGATTGCATGCCAGGTGTTTTGTTTGTGCAATCTTTTGTTTTGATTCCATATTATTTAATTTAAAAGGATTTTTTTTTTTACTATCGTTCTTTTACCAACTCCTGCAATTAAATAAATAATTTTATATTTCGTATTCGAAATAATATTCGAGTGATATTTACTTTTTTTTGGAATATTTAATGAAATAATGAAAACGGCAGAAAACAATCAATCGTGAAATATATTGCGTGGCGTCTGTTTTAAGTCAAAAATCCACCAATCAGAGCGGTCGTTTTTAATGACGTAATACGACGTCATTGTACAAAATCTCTGATTGGTTTGCGACAGCATGACTTCAGCCTGGGTCGTTATTTAGCTCATGTAGACGTGGATTTTTTTTTGTTTTCTTTTTGTTTTTTTTTTTTCTTTTTTTCTTTCTTTTTCTTTTCTTTTTTTTTTTTTTTTTTGATTTTTATTCTATAATGTTCGTACATATACATGTATTTATTTTATACGATTTGAAATGAAGTGTAAAGTTTGTACAGTAATCTACGTGTTTACTATGTAATTTGATATTTTATGAAATCGAAAAATTATACATTATCGGAATCACTCCGGTGAAAAAATGAATTTAGAAACTCTTTTAGAGGCTGCCAAATTCGTTGAGTCGCAAGAAGTGAAACAAAAGAAAGCATTGGAATCGTTCGGAGATGCACGTGGTAAGTACTTGATTTTTTTTTTTTTTTTTTTTTTTTTTACTTGACTTTTGCGAAGTGTTTTGACATTTTTACAAAGGGACAAAGTAAAACGTTTGAAAAAAAAAATTTTTTTTTTTTGTCATGCTAATCTCTCGTATATAGTTAATCGCGATAAACGTAACGATCAAACCGGAATTTTTCCATATTTATTATAAGTCATGTTTTTTTTTTTTTTTTTTTTTTTTAATATAATTTTGCCTTTTGAATATATAATATTCTTAATTGTTAAACATTAGAATTTAAATGGCCTTGTTTAACTTGAGGCTTTCAGTTAAATCAAACCGTTATTTTTCGTTTGTTTGTTTGTTTTTTTATCATCATGTTCATCATTATTATTATTATTTTCAATGATGTGTTAGGTTGATATATATTTTTTTTTTTTTTTTGTTTTATTGAATAGTCATTTATTAAAATGTATAAATGATTAATCTAAATAATGTCAAGTTTTTTAAAATTGTATTTGTCAGATATAAAAGAAGATTTGAGGTAGTTGAAGCAGGTTTCGGTTTATCGGTTTGATGGTGATTTTTTTTTTCTAAAGATTATTTTCATACAAATTATCGATTGTGAGAAAAAATTTTTTCATTAGTTATCTCGAGTTTAAAATTTAAATATTAATTTGTTGTCATTTTTGTAATCGGTGGTGATCTTTATCTTAATCGATTGTAGTAAGAAGGGGACAACATTTTGTTAATCATTTAGGAAAAACTTTCATGTGTAAAAGTTCAAGTCGTTGATTGAGTTATCAATCAATCTTTGGTTGTAATTAATGAAAATGGAAAAAATATTTTCAAACAATCATTTTACTTTCAATAAATTGAATTTAATTGTTCGATTAAAAACTTTGGGGGGGGGGGAAGGATGGAAAAAAATTTTTGTTTTTTGTCGTTCGCATTCATAACTTTTTAATTTTCAATCGATTTTATTAAAATCCATTATAACTCTTTTTTTTTTTCTCGATTTCCATAATTAAAATCAGATTGTTAATTTACTCTATGGAAAAAAAAAACCCCCATTTGATGTCATTTTTTTTTAAAGTTGGTAATAACTTTGTACATGTATGTAGTATATTTATACTCGAGTAGTACATTATATAATTTGATGTGGTGACATTATTATGTATTTATTACTGCGACTGCATATCATCACAGACAAGTATTTACATACCTGAAATTGCTTGCCAAATAGTATTATTATTCTGATTTAAATTTGAATGATTTGAAAGTTTTATTTTTTGTTGTTGTTGTGCACCATATTTATATATATATATATATATATATATATAAGCATTTATTTAGTTGTTGTTGTTATTCATTATTTCCTACTTTATTGTGAAATATTATTATTATTATTATCTGTTTTGTTGTTGTTGTTCTACTTTTAGCCCCTACTTTTGCCTATTAAAAAAATAAGTAAATAATCCATTTTAATTTAAGTTTATATAAAATTTAACAAAAATATTGATTGAGTGTGTGTGCGTGTGCGTGTGCGTGCGTGTACGCTAAGTAACGCGTTTGCAACATTATTATTATTATTATTTAAGGGTTTTAGATTGGAATTATTTAATGCTTTCGTAGAATCGGTCTTTTTTGTATTTATTTATTTATTTATTTATATTCGTTGGAAATGTCATTAAAAAAACGCTTTGAGCACATATGCGATTAATAATAATAATAATGTGAAATTTTCGAATGGGCTAAAATACCTTAAAACAATCGATATTATATTAAAAGTAATTAAAAAACTGAGGGCGTAAAACAATACATCGATAATTACCCCCCCCCCAAAAAAAAAAAAAAAGGTTCTTTCAAGGTACGCAAGAGGAAAAACTTTATGAAATATGTATACACACTACACCCTTGTTAATTTAATAGAAAGAAAGAAAGAAACCTGGTCAGGTATAAGAAGAAGAAGAAGAAGAAGAAAAAAAATTTCATTTAATTGAGAGTTTCGAATGGTGCGGGCGGTAAATCCATTACAATATATTTTGAATAATTTTTTTTTTTTTTGTCATGTTGTCGTTCTTAAAATTTTCACATATGAGTATTTAGCAGCAATACCATTTGTAAATGGAAAATTTGGTTTTTCGTTGAGATTATCACAACGCTCTGTGATAAAATACAAACAAAACAAATACTAATACTATTACTACTCGTGTAAATTAATATTCTGCCATTATTTTTCAGTCATGGGTTTGGTTCTATTCGGTTAGGTTTGGTTTTTTTATTTAAACTTAAACACAAGAATCTGGCATGAGAAATGAGAGAGAGAAAAATATTCATTTGACGATTAGATATCGAAATACTACAAAAAAACTATGACAAAGAAAAAATTAAACCACGTTTCACAAGGTTATTTTATGGTAGTAGATCTCTTTTTGTCGTTCCCACTTTTTTAATTATTATTATTATTATTATGTTTTATAATAATAATAATAATAAGTAATAATATTGTTTTTCATTTGATTTTTTTTTTTTTTTTGAATTTGAATTTGACAATTTTTTATAGTTAGTTAGTTAGTTAGTTAGTTAGTTTTTTATTTCATAATATACCTTTCACCATTTAGTAATTTTTTTAAAAGAGAATTTCAAGTAGAATTGATTTTACGATGGTTAAGAATGGAAAACATTTGTCATCTTACGTACGTGAAGTTTTCTGCCCTGCAATTACGCGTGTGCGGCCCTGTGCCGAGCAAAACGTCAAATAATTTTGTTGCAACGTTGCCAAGTGTATTTAGTTTTTCGTCGCGTGCTTTTTGTGTATAGTCAAACTCTACTTAGAAAATTCTTCACAAAAAAAAAAAAAAAAAATTTTTTTTTTAATT